CCTCCTTGTTTATATTGCACATTATTGTAATTTTTTATTCATTTTCATATATGTTTCATTCATTAGAAAAGAAAATAGCAAGCATTAATTGGCTTGTGAGATTATATCACTTTTTTTGATATTATCTTTAGAATTATATTAATGACATAAACAATAACTATAGGTTACAGGTCCTATAGAATTATGCCGTAAAGTTTCTGAAGAATTACAAGAGAGTGCAAAAGAAAGAAAGTGGCGTATCGTTGTACATCAATGTGAAACTGTTGCTGATGTTATAAAGTCGAAGTTAAATATTGGTGTCGATTTCATTGTTTTTGTTTTTGACTGGAGAATCAGTCAGACTTTGTCTGATGTGAGTATTCGATCTTTTTCCAAGGACGATACTTTCTATAATGTTCAACTGATATAAAGAACATAACCATTCAAGGTGGAAAAAAACTTACGTCTTATCGATGAACATTTCATAGTTTCTGGAGCTGTGTGCCTAGTAAACTGCACAGGAATCTTGAGTTTTGTGGGAAAGACCTCCCACAAGATTGTACAGATAAGAAATAAATATAATATTCATTTCTTGTCTGCCAATGTTTTCGTATGTATTTATACACATATTTTACACTGTTTAATTCGTAGTTGATATATCGTACTAACTTTCACATCATTTTTTTTTTCATAGAAATCACTAATTCGTGTTCAGTTAGGTGGTAGGATCTTGAACCTAGTAGAAGCTTTATTGGGAATAACAAGTGGAATTCCTATTAGTGGACTATTGGCATAAAATTTTACAAAGCTTTATACTCCGAATATTGAAATGAAAAGGGCAGCTAGCAAGAATCAAGCATATGCTTCCAGTCAAGAAGACAGTGAAAATGACAGTGATGAAACTGAGTGTAGTATTGGCAGTAATTCTACGGCTGGTACTCATCGTAGCGACACACCTACGCGCAGCGCACGTTACAGAAGGAAAGGTCGAAGGAGGAGTAAAACAGCGAAATATAAACCATGTACAGACAAGCCTCTTTATAAATATTGCTGCAGTATCAAGGAAGATCATGGACAACCTTTGTTTGGTGTGCAATTTAATCATCACTTAAAAGAAGGTGAACCATTGATATTTGCTTCAGTAGGAAGCAATCGTGTGAGCATCTATGAATGCCCAGAAGGAGGAAACATAAGACTCCGACAGTGTTATGCAGATCCTGATCCAGAAGAAAATTTTTATACTTGTACTTGGACCTATGACGATTCTGGAAAACCTCTATTAGCAGTAGCTGGATCACGTGGTGTTGTAAGAGTGATCAGTCCTGTGACTATGACATGCATCAAACACTATATTGGACATGGCCATGCTATAAATGAATTAAAAATCCATCCCAAAGATCCAAATATATTGCTTTCTGCGTCAAAAGATCATGCTCTTAGACTATGGAACATAAAAACTGATGTATGCATAGCAATATTTGGTGGTGTCGAGGGCCACAGAGATGAAGTTTTAAGTGCTGATTTTGATATGAAGGGGGAACGTGTTATCTCATGTGGTATGGATCACGCTTTAAAATTGTGGTCACTGGACAAGCCAGATATGCAAGAAGCAATAAAACAGTCCTACTATTGTAATCCCAGTCGTAACGGAAGACCTTTCGATTCGATACTTCAACATTTTCCGGATTTTACCACACGCGATGTTCATCGTAATTATGTCGATTGCGTTAAATGGTACGGCGACTTCATTTTAAGCAAGTCGTGTGAAAATTGTATTGTTTGTTGGAAGCCTGGACGCCTAGAGGATTCTCATCTACGTAATGGGGAAACAAGCGCCACTGTTCTACATAGATTTGAATTCAAAGAATGTGATATATGGTTTATACGATTTTCCATGGATTTTTGGCAACGTACAATAGCTTTAGGGAATCAAGTGGGTAGGACGTATGTCTGGGATTTGGAAGTCGATGAACCTGGCCAAGCGCGTTGTTACTCGCTCCAGCATCCCAGATGCACAGCACCTATACGTCAAACTAGTTTAAGTAGAGATGGTTCAGTTCTGTTGTGTGTTTGCGACGATGCTACTGTTTGGAGATGGAATCGTGAACATTAACGTTTATGTAATATATAAAATGTGGTGCCTTTATATTTACATAATATGTACTATATTCGATACTTATTACTGCCTACTACGCAAAACAACTACTCTAAACAGTGAATTCTAAATTTACATTAATACATTAACCATACAAATGTAATGATTTTCGTTTTGCCAATGATTTATAAAAGGAATTAAAATTTAGATATGCATATACTTTATTAGAAGTCATAACTTTCTCGTTATGAAAATAAAGAATCAACACTTTATACATGACATTGTAACGATAAGGATTTTAAGAGGAGGAACATAATTAATATGTCGCATTCATGATTGTAATCATA